AAATTTTAAAAATATATTTGCAAAGTGGAGACATAAAGATAGAGATCTCCTGTCTGCTTTTTCACCCTCCAAATGGCCACAGCAGCCGACAGTGAGTCAGGATGAAGTGGGGAGACACAGGCTTGCTCTGGACGGGATCTCCCATGGGGGTGTCAGGAATCCTAGAGCTGGAGCCATCACCTGCGCTTTGCAGGGTGAGCCAGGCAGCAGGCCGAGGCCCTGGGCGGGGACGGCGGCACTCCCTGTGAGCGTGTCTTCACTCCTGGGTCAGAAGCTCGGTGAGCCCTTCTTACCCTGCTCTTTAGTCATCCACAGACCTTGTTGTGAGGAAGTTTATACTGCGTGGAACAGAGGAGGTGGGCAGCAGGGAAGGGGGACAGGGAAGGCGGTGGAGGGGGTAGGGGAAGGGGGCAGAGAAGGCGGTGGAGGGGGTAGGGAAGGGGACAGGGAAGGCGGGAGGGGTAGGGAAGGGGACAGGAAGGCGGTGGAGGGGGTAGGGGAAGGGGGCAGAGAAGGCGGTGGAGGGGGTAGGGGAAGGGGGCAGAGAAGGCGGTGGAGGGGGTAGGGGAAGGGGGCAGAGAAGGCAGTGGAGTGGGAAGGGGAAGGGGGCAGAGAAGGCGGTGGAGTGGGAAGGGGAAGGGGGCAGAGAAGGCGGTGGAGGGGGTAGGGAAGGGGGCAGAGAAGGCGGTGGAGGGGTAGGGAAGGGGCAGAGAAGGCGGTGGAGGGGGTAGGGGAAGGGGCAGAGAAGGCGGGAGTGGAAGGGAAGGGGGCAGAGAAGGCGGTGGAGGGGGTAGGGGAAGGGGGACAGAGAAGGCGGTGGAGGGGGAAGGGGAAGGGGGCAGAGAAGGCGGTGGAGGGGGAAGGGGGCAGAGAAGGCGGTGGAGGGGGCAGGAGAAGGTCCCTCCCTGAGCTCCTGCCCAGGCCCTCAGTGCTTGCTCGTTCTGGAGGCAGGAGCAGACAGGACAGCAGTTGGGCTAGGTGGGCCCGGGGTGGCCGCAAGGCGTGAACGAGGAGCTGCTGGGCGTCTCGGTACAAGCAGAGCCCGGGCCTCTTTTTTGGGCCTCTTGTACAGGGTTCTTAGTTTTGGTAGGCCTTGTCGGTACTTACCTGAGTTAAATATTCCTGTCAGAATTCTGAGTGTGAGTGGACCGGATCAGCAGCTGGGGTGTCCCTTTTGGAAGCTAAGTCACAGGGGTGACGCCTGTGGATATCAGAGGGAAAGCCACTGCCATGTGGCCCCTCCTCAGACGCTGTCACAGAACCTGTATTCCTGGCTGCCTGGGCTGCTCCCCCCCCCCACCCGTGGCCTGGGACCTGCCACCTGGAGAGCCTGTTCTCTGCTGCACAGAGCTTTGTGGGTAAGCACTAAAAATCCCACCCGAGAGGCCAGCCCGTCCCACAGTTGGGCTCTGTCCCATGTGCCTTGCTGTGAGCTGACCAGGTCCCCCGCGTGTGCCTTTGATCTCAAGACACGGTGTTTGCTTTTCGAGGCACCTATGCTGGGCGTGCGGTCTGCATGGTCAGCTTTTTTCATGCAACGACATAGTACAGTTCTTAATGTCAGTGTGCCGGAGTCCAGCTCCAGCTGAGTTCGGAGAAGGGTGCGTGGATGAGGCATAAAGAGAAATGAAATGGACCACTACAATTCAATGATCATCATGGACAATGCAGGAAAGCTGTCCGCTTTATTTATACAGAACCACTCAAACTCTGGCTCAGACTTTTTACGTCATGGTCAAGTGGGTGCTTCCAAAGATAATTCTGCCACTTTTTTCACCTAAAAACTCTAGAAGTTCCTTCTATAATTCTTATTCTACAACTCAATCTTGTATCATAAAGAAAAGGAGAACCTGGACCCGGCAAGGTGGCGCAGTGCTTAAGGTCCTCGCCTTGCACGCCCGGGATCCCATATGGTCGTCGGTTCTAATCCCAGCGGCCCTACTTCCCATCCAGCTCCCTGCTTGTGGCCTGGGACAGCAGTTGAGGATGGCCCAAATATTTGGGACCCTGCACCCACGTGGGAGACCTGGAGGAACTTTCTGGCTCCTGGCTTCAGATCAGCACAGCACTGGCTGTTGCACTCACTTGGGGAGTGAACCATCGGAAGTAAGATCTTCCTCTCTGTTTCTTCTCCTCTATGTGTATCCGCCTTTCCAATAAAAAAAAAAAATCTTAAAAAAAAAAAAAGGACAACCTAAAGATCAAGGAAAGAATGAAACCCTAAATACAGGTCCCTTGATTAGCATTAGGTCATTGGGGACAGCCAAGACAGTATGAATAATAAAAGGTCCTTTAACCTCCAAGCTCACATTGAGTAAAAAAGCCAACTGCACAGCAGCAAACAATGCCTGATTGGATTAGAATTCTTCTGGGTGATCCAGTGTCCATGCCAAGGAAGGTGGAGCTGCATTCAGGTGGTTATAGAGACATCCCCCAGGCCCTGCCATACAGCGGGAAGTTCCTTGCGACCCTGCCAGCAATGGAACAATACTTTTCACACCTTCGTGTCCTCCACATCCACGGCACGGACCCCAGCATCAGTGAAGTGCAAGCTTCAATACAAAACAATGTCAGGGCTGCGTGAACCGGTGCCCCGGAGTTTAGGTGCGACTGATGCAGTACTACGAAGGGTTCTGAGGTCCATTTCTGCTGCTGAGTCTATACTTGTAGCTTCAGTAGTTCCTAAAGAATACTGTCCTGCACACCAAGCTGAGCCAGACTGCAACACCTTCTGGTGCTCTGGAGGACATGGGTGGATGTGGGATGGACAAGACTTGGTCTCAGCCCCTACTGAGCCATGTGTGAGCTGTATGTGAGTATGGACAAGCTGTGGCTGGGCTGAAACATCCAACAGTAAGAACCAGTTTGGATTGAAGACCAGTCAGGAAAAGCCACTGTTCTTGCTAGGACAGGAGGTGAACTGAGTAGGGCTAGCCCATGGATCCCCTGGTATGTGTGAAATCTGGCGTTGGGAGAGGTTCTGGTAGAGGAGCCTGGGCAACTTCTCTGGCAGGACACAGATCCAGCAGGTAAGCACAAGAAGCATGATAGGAAACAGCCCAGAATGGGCCATGGGAAATATCCCACTGACATACATTTGGCATGGATCAGGGGCAGACCAGGCTGAATCAGTTCGCATCATCCACTGGCAAATCCGAGCACCAGAACAGAGTGTAGGCCAAGCCAGGTTCGGTCGAGACAAAAACCAATACATAATACGGAATGCCAAGGTGAAGTTAGTTACCTGTACCAGGTATGACCGCAGTGCACAACCAGCATGTGTGAAAACCAGGAAGGGAGCGGGTGGAGCCAGCAGGGGGGGCGATATAGAGGGTTCCTTTGCTGGACAGCTACTGCCACTGGAGAGCCTGAGCTGGGATGGGGGCAGACCAGACTAGACAGAGCCAAGACACCTGTGGGCTTCATGTGGACTGGATCAGGGAAAAGCCACGCTGGCTGATTGTTCCTACTGGTGCAAAATAAAATTAGAGTGGGTGAGGGTTGGTTGGGCTTTGCCTCAGCATCAGCTGGCAGAGGCTGGCACTGGGGGCTAATTCTGTCAAGATAAACCACAGAACCACCTGGAGAGTGCATAACCCAGGAGTGGGAGTGGCCTGGGAGGGAAATAGTGGGCTCCTCCCTCTTGGGTTTCCACTCCCACTGGAGAGCACGAAAACCAGGACAAGGGCTCAGGTGGCTAGACAAAGAGGCACCCAGCAACATTCGTGAGGGCTGGATAGTCGAGCTGGTTAGATGGAACTAGGCTTTAATACCCATTGACATGTATGAGACCTGAATGGGATGTGGGACAGACTGGACTAGTCTGCTACACATACTGGCAAACCAGGGTAGGGGGCAGGCCTGGTGGGGGGATATTGTGGGTCACTCCAACTAGGCTGCTGCTCCCACTGGTTTATGTGAGGGCCAAGTGTGTGCTGGGCAGAACGAGGCTGGACTGCAACACTCATTGGTTCCAGTGGAAGACAGCGCTGGAAATAGAACCAACCCAGCAATTGCAACCACCAACTGCTTAGGGCGATGGACGGTGCCAGGCCCTGTACTTGCTAGCACATACAAGAATCTGGTCTGGGAACACCTGAGACAGAGTCTCTTTGGGGATCTCTCCAATCGAAATGCCAAACTCAGAACCCTAACTAAGACAGAAGACAGAACAAGTCAATCAACCACCTCAGCTGTATGTTGTCAGCAAAATACAGGGCAAATGGAGACTCTATGAAGGACTATGTCAATCAGTGGATTCTTCAGCGACCTCATTGTGCTCGGAGTGGCGAGAAGATTGACAGCAGCTCATGACTAATGAGCCATCAAAACCACTTGAGCAAGCCGCTCGGAGCATGCCCCATGTCGGGGACCTGGGCTGGGTGGGAGACTGGGTGGGGCTTCTCCCTTAATATCCCCCTCTACCTCAGATACATGAAAGGAAACAATGCAGAAATGATAGTCTTACCCATTTTCCTGTAGCCCTTGAACCTTTTTACCCTAATTAACTATGTAAAAATTGTCAAAAATATAATTTAAAAATGGAAAAACTTAAAAAAGAGAGAGAATAATGTCATGGGGTTTTATTATTTGCACTGAAGGTTGCCGTTTTCCATGGATTCTGGTTCGTGTTGCCTTCTGAAGGTGTTTCCCTCCCTGGGTGGGCTGTGGGCGTGCCGTCAGCTTCCCCCTTGCCGTTTCCGGGCTCTGCTCCTTGTCCTCAGTGCTGCTTACCATGGGTTCTAACAGGCACACTACTGCCTTACAAATTTCTGCCTAAGAAATACCACTGAATTACATGCTGAAAATGACAGAGTGATGAATTCTAGGTTGTGTAGATTTTACAGACAAAGGAAAGAAAAACAGCTTTGAGAAATTTGCAGCTCTTTGGTTGTGTGGTGTTTCCTTGCGTGTGCCTGTTGAGTGGTGGGCGGAAGGTGTTGGAGGGCTCGCTGTTAGTGTTGTCATCTGAGAGGAGTTCTTGCGACTTTACCCTGCAGGCCAAAACCCTGCGAAAACTGATCCAGCAGACGTTCCGGCAGTTCGCCAACCTCAACAGGGAAGAAAGTATTCTCAAATTCTTCGAGATCCTGTCTCCGGTGTACAGATTCGACAAGGAATGCTTCAAGTGTGCGCTCGGGGTGTGTATGGCAGCCGGCAGCCGGCGGTTGTCCAACCGGCTCCCTCTGTTCACTAACTACAAATAGCAACACTTCAGATTAAAGGAAAGCTAGTTTGTAACATTTTGAGGCCAGTATCAAAATATTGTCATTTTTAAGTGGGGGAAAATGTGTCAATCTGAGAATAAAATTGTCCTTTTCAGGTAGCATGCCTTGGTTTAGTGGGGTTTTTATTTTGGAGCTAGCAGTTTGCTGGCTCACTGCCCATAGGACTGCCCACCTGGTGTTCCCGGGGAAGCCGCAGGGTGTGTCTGGGCCCTGCATCCCGGGGAGGTGGGCTTGCACATACTACTTCTTTGGTTAGATGGATGATTAGCCAGCCAGGCCAGCCTCCGTTTGGGTTTTTAATGTATCATGTCTATCTATCTAAAAATGCCTTTTTCCTTCGGTACTGCTGTCTTCCCTTGCTGGGCCTTCCAAAGTCAAGCTGGATTATTTCGGTGGAGCTGGCCATCGGCCCGGAAGAAGGGATCAGTTACCTGACGGACAAGGGCTGCAGTGTAAGTCCCTTCTGCGGGGTACAGACACGGAGGCGGCACAGTAGGAAGATGGGATTCTTTATTTTATAAATAACTCTTGGTATTGCAGGGAGCAAGTACATGATCCACTAGCAAGGTATGAAATGCTTTGGAACCCCTTAGTTTTGGAAGGAAATGAATCCTAAAATTGTGTATGTTTAGTGAGAACTGAAGGGAGTTCCGGTTTATCTGGAAAAGTTTGAATGTTAGCTTTTTTTTTTAATTGATTTTTATTGAAAAGACAGGTTTACAGAGAGGAGAGACAGAGAGAAAGATCTTCCATTCACTGGTTCATCCCCCAAATGGCCAAAACAGCCAGAGCTGATCTGATCTGAAGCCAGGAGCTTCATCCGGGTCTGCCACGTTTCAGTCACCAGTGTGGGGCCCTGCATACTTGGGCTGTCCTCCACTGCTTTCCCAGGCCACAAACAGTGAGCTCGTTGGGAAGTGGAGCAGCCAGGACATGAACCTGCACCACCTGGATGGGATGCCAACACTTGGAGGTGGAGGATCAGCCAATTGAGCCATCATGCCAGTGTCTAAATGTTAATTTTTAAACTTAAATTCTGTATAAGATTCGACTGTAATTGTACTGGTGCTATGTCCTTTGGGAGATTCCCTTTTCGTTAGTTCTAGAATAAATTCATAACTCTGCTCAAGTTCCTACGAGCCTTCCTCAGCCTGCTGAGATCCAAGTGTGCATCAGATGGAAACCCATAGCACATCCCTTGCCGACACTCCAAACAGCAGGTCCAGCTCACCCCCAGGACCGTCCTCCAGCCTGTGATGGTCTGAGTGTAGCATTCTTTGAGAATTCTACACTTGACCTTAAGCAAAGGACTGAGAAGTGATTTAAGAATTCTTTAAGACATATTATAAGAATTCAGTCTATTTGGGAAGGGTCCTTCGAATACCTGTTGTCTCCCTGCTCTATTAAACTAAATGAAGATGTTTCACAATATTTATAGAAAAACAGAATTGAAAGATATTTTGGGAATTAAAAATTCACAATGCAAGGTGGGTGTTTAGCCTGCAGTTTGAGACACCTGTGTCCTATGTGGGCATGCTGGGGTAACGTCCTGGCTCTGCCTTCTGAGCCCAGCCTTCTGCCAGTGCAGACCCTAGAAGACCCCAAAAGGCTCAGGTGGTTCCTGCCATCTGCTACAGAGGACCCCACTGCGCCCCCTTCCCAGCTTCAGTTCTCACAGCAGTGAGTGTTCACAGACCGTGCTGGGGGCAGAGGAAGTTACATGTGTGTGTCATGCACACTTGCGCTGTCTTAGGTAGCTGTGAATCATATCTTTAAAAAGTTTCTGAATTTGTGATTATCAGGTCTTCAAATATGTATTGGGCATGTATATTGTTTATAAAGTGTTTTTTAAGAAATCTGTGCCAAAAGAAACAGGTCTTTTAATTCCACAAATGTTTGATGTGCAGCCATAGCTCAGGGAGCACTGGAAGTGATCCGCAGGCTCTCTGTGTCAAGCGGAGCACAGCACTCACTGTCCCTGAGACTGTAGGCTTCTTCAGACCAGCCAAGGAGCCACCCCCAGTCCCACTCAGAACGTGGGTCTCCTCAGGACGTCGCAGAGTCACAGAGTCACGTGATGGTCTGCTAGGGCCAGCTTCCACAGTTGCTCTCCCAGCTCGTTAGTCTTAGGGAAGCTCGCTCTAAGAATGTGGGATGTTCTTGGTGTTGGTGAGACTGTCACGGAGCGCCTGACAGGATGGGGGAAGGGAGGTTTTTTAGCCGTGATCAAATGATTTTTCCCTTCCTTTCCAAAGCCCACACATCTGGCTGACTTCAATCAAGTGCAGACCATTCAGTATTCAAACAGCGAGGACAAGGACAGGAAAGGAATGCTTCAACTGAAAATAGCTGGCGCACCCGAGGTAAGGGCTTGCAGACGCGATCTTAAGGCAGACTCAGTCACAGATGGAGCTTAGAAAAAGTGATCTACTTAGAGTGAGGCAGGAATGTTTGTGGTTCATCAGTGTCACAGTTGTCTCCCAGGTCGTGAGGTAATGGGTCAGATGCTCGGGGCTGATTGTTGCCCCAAATAGGGCAGGAGAAAAACTTAAAATCACTCGGGTCTTTCGCTAAGTTCCAAGGAAATATGGGTTCTCTGGCTGTAACAGTTATAGTAAGGATGTAGCTTCCACTTATGGCACATATGCCATTGTCACAGAAAACCAGCTGAGTACTGTGGTCAGCCACATCGTGGAGGGAGGGAGACTAAGGGACAGTGATGGATAGCATTGGGCCTTACATTCAAAATCATCCGGCTCCTTACCTCTGCTTCCTGATCTGGGACTTGCAATTAGAGACGAGAAGTGGTGTGAGAACGCCCACGCAGCACAGGCGTGGAGCAGAATCCTCCCTGTGAAGCAGCGCTGCAGGGGGTTTGGTGGTCCCACAGTTTGGCCTGTTTGTGGGGCGAGTTGTTTGGAACTCCATGTCTGTTCAGGACTCTCGCTGGGGGCAAGCTTTGTGTCCCTGCCCTGCACTGGGACAGTAGGAGAGGTTTGTGTCCGCCTAATGCAGAAAGCATGCTGGGAGTGGAAATCCAGAGTGCCGATTATTTCCTATCATCTTGTCATTTTCTTATCCCTAAAATACTCTTTAGAATCCTGTAGCTTTGGGCCCAGCTCGGTAGCCTAGCAGCTAAAGTCCTCACTCTGCACACGCCAGGATCCCATGTGGGTGCCAGTTCTAATCCTGGCAGCCCCGCTTCCCATCCAGCTCCCTGCCTGTGGCCTGGGAAAGCAGTCGAGGACAGCCCAAAGCCTTGGGACCTGCACCCACGTGGGAGACCCAGAAGAGGCTCCTAGCTCCCCGGTTTGGATCAGCTCAGCTCTAGCCGTTGCGGCCACTTGGGCAGTAAATCAACGGATGGAAGATCTTCATCTCTGTATATCTGACTTCCCAACAAAAATTAAATCTTGACAAAAATCACTCAGCTGAGAAAGTTTCATGTGGATTGTCATGAGTTGGGACATGTTTGTGTATGAGAAGAAAATCCAGCCTCGACTTCCCTAATAACACCCAATCTGGACTTCTGGCAGGTTTATCAACACTGGACAGATTTAATGATGAGATGAGTGGCTTTTTTTTAAGATTTATTTTATTTTTATTGTTGATTCATATATACAGAGAAGAGAGACAGAGAAAAAGATCTTCTGTCCATTAATTCACTCCCCAAGCAGCCACAGCAGCTGGAGCTGAGCTGATCCAAAGCCAGGAGCCCAGAGCCTCTTCTGGGTCTCCCACATGGGTGCAGGGTTCCAAGGCTTTGGGCCGTCCTTTACTGCCTTCCCAATCCACAGCAGAGAGCAAGATGGGAAGTAGAGCAGCCAGGACACAAACTGGCACTCATATGGGATACCGGCGCATGCCAGGTAAGTACTTTAGCCACTAGGCTACCACATTGGGCCCAAAATGAGTTGCTTTTTATAAGCCTTCCTCAAAATATTCTATGCTTACTAAAAATAATGAAGTTTCAAGTGTTAAGCATTATAGATTGATGGAAAATCTATTCCATGCCAGCTTAATTTCAAAAAAAAAAAAGTCAAAATTTAACTTCCTGATGATCTAAAACCTTCCCTTCGAGAGGCCTGACAGTCTGAAGGGAATTCCATCTAAATGATGTTCCTCAGTGTGCCTTCTGTAGCAGCTTCTAGGAATAACAGCTCGAAATGCCACGCCCGCGTTCTGACTCAGATCTCATGACAAGCCTCGTTTGTGTCCCTCCTGTCTCTGCTTTCAAGTGTGTGTCAAGTCTGATGTCACAGCACAGCTGTCTCTCTGACCGCTGGCAGGAACAATAACGTGTCTTTCTTGGTCCCTCCCGGGTTAGCCTCTGACAGTGACGGCACCATCGCTGACCATCGCCGAGAACATGGCCGACCTGATAGATGGGTACTGCCGGCTGGTGAACGGGGCCACGCAGTCCTTCATCATCAGACCCCAGAAAGGTGAGCCTTTTTCCCTGTCGCAGGTCCCCAGGGCGTCCCCCTCCATAGCCTGGTAATCTTCCTGTGGGGGGCCTGGAAGGGTGAAGGCCAGGCGTGCAGACCAGGCAAGGACAGTGCGCATCCCTGTAGCGGGCAGTGGGCAGACCAGCACAGGCTTGAGTGAGAACTGCAGGAGGGCTTTGTGTCTGCAGCCCTGAGTTTTGAGCTATTTAGAGCAGTTTCTCATCCATAAACTGTTAGGATAATTTCCTACTTTTAAAAATAGACGCACTGAAATTCCCCTTGGATAGGAGGTTTCCTTCTTTGTTTCCTTGTCTGTCTCAAAAGCCCCAGGCAGCAGAAGAGCACGTTATACATAGCCAGAGAGCAGAATGAATAAATACCTAGAAACAGCCAGTCTGGGATTGTTGTAGAAGGCATGGACTTTCCCAAGCACTTCAGGATTTGGAAACATTCCAGCTGGGTTGTAGCATGCTGGGAAGCAGAAGCTGCCTGGCTTGGCATTCACCTGGGCGTCCGGCCTGTGCGTCCAGCATCCCTGTGTGTGAAATGCTTGGCATGGCATTCACCTGGGCATCCAGCCTGTGCATCCAGCGTCCCTGTGTGTGAAATGCTTGGCATGGCGTTCACCTGGGCATCCAGCCTGTGCGTCCAGCGTCCCTGTGTGTGAAATGCTTGGCATGGCATTAACCTGGGCATCCAGCCTGTGCGTCCAGTGTCCCTGTGTGTGAAATGGTTGGCTTCTAACGACTTACTGCCTGTAGTAATGCAACAGTGCTGGCTTGGCTTTTTTGTTGTCAGTGTCAGCAGTCATGGTGTGATCTTGACACTGAGCGTCTGTATGGAAGAAAATGAACTTGTTTGCTGGCTCATCGGTAGGGTCATGTGGTACATGGTTAGAGAAGCATGTTGTCCCGTGGCCAGTGGACAGGGAGTATGTCCTCTCTATGTATCCATTCCTGCTCCTACCACTGGGGACTAGAATCCTCGAGTGCCATGTGGTATTCCCTGTAACAGAACTGAGTGACCCAGAGAAGAGGGTGGAGAGAAGCATGTGTGTGGCAAGTGATGGCCCCGGAAGCCAGGGCCTCGGCTCTGCAGGTTGACGTGTGAGTCCACGGAGCCGTCCTTGGACCCTTGGCTCAAAAGCCGCTAGTGCTGTTTGGCTCTGGAAACAAGAACTGAAGCAGCCCGAGGCAGAAGGCCACTAAGTAGGCTGACGTCCTTGTGATCCCAGGGCAGGGCTGGCCGGGCCAGAGCATCCTCCCACCCTGGACCCACAGCAGAGGGCAGGGCTGGCCGGGCCAGAGCATCCTCCCACCCTGGACCCACAGCAGAGGGCAGGGCTGACTGGGCCGGAGCGTCCTCCCACCCTGGACCCACAGCAGAGGGCAGGGCTGGCCGGGCCGGAGCGTCCTCCCACCCTGGACCCACAGCAGAGGGCAGGGCTGGCCGGGCCGGAGCGTCCTCCCACCCTGGACCCACAGCAGAGGGCAGGGCTGGCCGAGCCGGAGCGTCCTCCCACCCTGGACCCACAGCAGAGGGCAGGGCTGGCCGGGCCAGAGCGTCCTCCCACCCTGGACCCACAGCAGAGGGCAGGGCTGGCCGGGCCGGAGCGTCCTCCCACCCTGGATCCACAGCAGAGCTCGTGCTGCCTTGTTGCCAAGATGAGCGTCGTCACTGATGCTGTCTTCCATCAGACGGAAGATTCCTCTCTGTCTCTCCTCCTCTCTATATAAAAATAAAGAAAATCTACATTAAAAAAAAATGCCTTCCAGAGCAAAAAAGTTAACTTCACTTACAATGGTGGACATTTTAGTTGATTAAATTTTTTTTTATTTTTTTTTTTTTTGCTTTAAGATTCTTTTTATTTTTTAATTGGAAAGGCAGATTTACAATACAGAGAGAAGAAGAGACAGAGGTAAAGATCTTCCATCTGCTGATTCATTCCCCAAGTGGCTGCAGTGGCCAGAGCTGAGCCAATCCAAAGCCTGGAGCCTGGAGCCTCTGCTGGGTCTCCCACACAGGTGCAGGATCCCAAGGCTTTGGGTCGTCCTTGACTACTGTGCCAGGCCACAGGCAGGGAGCTGGATGGGAAGTGGAGCAGCTGGGACACGAACCTGTGCCTATATGAATCCTAACAACCTGAAGCGGGAGGATGAACCAGTTGAAGTGCTGTGCCAGCCCGGTAACTGTCTCTCTGCTGCTGCGTGCTGCCATTTCTCTTGAATTTGTGTTGCTCCCTTGGTGGCACTTGCTGTCGTGTTATCACTTCGCTGCTTTCCTAAGCTGGTGAAGGTCAGTCCTTCAGCAAGGAATGGTTACTTTCTGTTTTTATTTTTTTATGTTAAAAAGACAGCCTTAGCTTGTCGTACCTTTTAAACACTCGGCGCCTGACAGTTGTTTGTGGTTGTCCCCGATGCTCCTAGCACAACCATAAACCCTCCCGCATGCCTCTGAAGGGTCACTGCTGGGCCAGGGCAGAGCGCGTCCGTCCTCTGGCGGCTGCGCCTGGTCTCCGCAGTGTGCGTAAAGGAAAGTCACTCTTCTCTCCTTCTTTCCCCAGAAGGCGAACGAGCTCTGCCGTCCATACCGAAGTAAGTGCTGCTTTGTGCCTCTTCTCTGCTGCGATCACTGGGAGGAAATCAATGCGCTTTATTTTCCATTTTCCTAAAGAGTAAAATTTCTGTAAATATGAAGGAACTGGAAAAAATATTGCTAGAATGAAATCACATCTGTTATGAATTTGGTTGGCAATTAAGTTAAATTTAAAAGTTGCAAATTAGTTTTCCCTTTGAGTTCAGTACAGAAGCTAGGAAGGCTCAAGGCAGCAAGATCGAGGGCCAGTTGTGAAGTTTTCACATGTGCTTGTATATATGCTTCGAATGTATCGCTTACCGCTTCTGAAACCTCATCGTAATTTGTTTTCTGATAATCTTAATAACTAAGAAAATAAAAGTTTCTTTATGGTTTTGTTGCTTATATCACAAATCAAATGCTAGTGCTTAGGAACTGGACACAGGATATGAGAGTTAAAATGTAGTGTTTGGGGCCCGGCATGGTAGCCTAGTAGCTAAAATCCTCACCTTGCACACGCTGGAATCCCATAAAGGTACCAGTTTGTGGCCTGGCTGCTCCACTTCCCATCCAGCTCTCTGCTTGTTTCCTGGAAAAGCAGTCGAGGACATCCCAAAGCCTTGGGACACTTCAGCCCCCACCCGCATGGCAAACCCAGAAGCAGCTCCTGGTTCCTGGCTTCAGATCAGCTGAGTTCTGGCCATTGCAGCCACTTGGGGAGCCAGCAGGAAGAGGATCTTCCTCTCTGTAATGTAAATCTGACTTTCTAAAAACAAATAAATAAATCTTAAAAAAACAACAAAACGTGGCAGTATTTGCCGCATAGCTGTACGGTTACAGCTGTGTGGCAAATACTGCCGGGGACACTGGCGCTCGGGAGTGTGAGAGCTACTCGGCTAAGGGGATTTCTGGACCTTTTCTTTCTCCTTTCTCACCAGTCCATCTCTGCTTTCTCTGTTTTCACTTCCTGAATATGTTGGATCCACTCGCTTCGCCCTGTCTCCACTGTCTGCTACCACCGTTTTTAGTGACTCTTGTCACCTGTCTGGGCTGCACCTTTGCTCTGGGACTCTCAAGGCCAGCCCTGACTTGGCGAGTCTCTGCAGTGGCGCATACATCGGGGACATGAAGAGAATGGGTGTGGAGTGGGAGAACGTGGGCGAGTTTCCAGAGGTCTGCCCGTGCAGTGCTCCCAGCAAAGAGCTGGGCCACGCCTCTGAGAGCCTGACCGGGAAGCTCAGTGGAAACACAGTGCCCTGCGTGTCTCCTGGATTCTCGCTATCTGACATGTACTAAAATTATAGACTCCTGGGAAAAAACAAAGACAGTATAAACCAGTTACTGAGGCCGGGAGCTCCTTCTGGGTTCTCCACATGGGTGCAGGGCCCAAGGGTTTGGGCTGTCTTTTACTGTTTCCCAGATGCATTAGCAGGAAGCTGAGTCGGAAGTGGAACAGCTGGGACATGCACCTGCACCCTCCCAGGATGCCAGCGTCACAGCGCTGCCTTCCCTTGCTGCGCAGCACCAGCTCCTGCTCTCGTTTTCTTCACTGTGTGCAAGGGCCTGTTCTGAATTCACACTCCACCACAACTTGCTGTTGCTGTTAGAATAAATCCCAGGACCCCTACTTTGACAGGTGCTGCCCAGCTCCCGCTCTGGACCTAAGTTACTGGAGCGAATGTCCTGTTGCTTCCCTGTGGGCTTTCATCAGTGCTCTTCCCCTGCGGGTCGCCCTCTTCTGCAGGCCGCTTTTCCTGAGCCTTGTTCGTTTTCCTGGTTTCATCCTGTGTTGCTTCCTCTGGAAACTTCTTTCAGCCTCTTCCTCCCCAAGGCAAGAGAGCGCACCTTAATAGCCTAGGTTTAGTACTGGTCACAGTTCTGTCAGTGTTGGCATTGCAGACTTAATGGCAGCCAAAATCTGTGCCCATTTGGGGGAGTAGCTGTATGGATGAGGGAAGGAGGGCCACGCAGCTCCTCTGATTCCAACCTGTGTGCCTCACTCAGCGAGCTGTGCCTGCTAGGCGCAAGTCCCACACTGGGCCAGAAGCTAAGGCTTTGTTAGGGTACTCAAAGTGAAATTCCACTAGGTGCTACTGAACAAGGAAATGGTAACATCAAAGCTGGGGTGAGACATGTTGGGGCAGCAGCCACGTCAGTGTGATGTGACCAGGGGACCCCTGCACCCGGCTGCAGGGTTGGGGTGCAGGAAGTGGCCTGCCAGGAAGCACACAGCTCGCCCTGGGAGTGTCCTGGGCTCTGCTGAGGGCTTGGCTTTGTCAGCACTGGGGGGGGGAGGGAAGCTGATGACTTCGTAGGAAACACTGGGATGGAATTTTTGCAGTAGATAATAAGATTTTAAATATTTAGAGATTTTAATAAAAGTGGTTCAATTTTATGGTATTTGTGGAGGTTCGACAGTTGTAGATATTTCTGGTTATCTATATACTCAAAAACTGATACACATCTAATTTCTAATATTTTCTATTATTGCATCTTTTCTGGTTTTCCTAACATTAGGGAAAATTTTCTGTTCATTACTGTAGTAGTAAATGTAGCTGTTTTAAAAAAAGGGGTTTTTTTTTTCTTTTTAATTAAAAAATCCAAATAATGTCACCATCTGTGCCCTTTGGGATTTGTTTTTTCTCTCTGTGTTTTGTGTTTTCCAAAGATCATAAATGACAACCAAAATTTTAACAAGTTTTTATTTTATGTGAATAAATTTATGAAGCTTGGTTTTTTATATGACTGATATAAAATTTTGTTTTCTTAGTAAATGGCATGTTACTCCCAATGCAGAGATGCCCTCGTTGGTGTGGGTTTTTGGTTCCGGAGCAAAGCCGTGACCCTTGTCCTTGCCTTTTACAGGTTGGCCAACAGCGAGAAGCAAGGCGTGAGGACACACGCGGTGTCCGTGTCAGGTAAGGCGCTCTGGGCTGCTGGCCCGCGACGGGGGGCAGTCATGGCAGTCACGGCAGGTCACGGCAGGTCACGGCAGTCACGGCAGGTCACGGCAGTCACGGCATGTCATGGCAGTCATGGCAGTCACGGCAGTCATGGCATGTCATGGCAGTCACGGCATGTCATGGCAGTCACGGCAGGTCACGGCAGTCATGGCATGTCATGGCAGTCATGTCATGGCAGTCACGGCAGTCATGGCATGTCATGGCAGTCATGTCATGGCATGTCATGGCAGTCACGGCAGTCATGGCAGTCATGGCAGTCACAGCGGTGGCTGCGACCTCCGCCAGCCTGCCTCAGCTGAAGGAGCTTTTCAAAGCGACGTGCTCTAGTTGAGAGTTCAAAGTAGCTTCTTGTGTTTTTAGGTCAGGCTTTTATGTGGAATACCAAGTTATTCACTAGTTATATAGAATTCCAAAGTATTTTGGTTAATGTCCTGTTAATTATACATAGAGTGAAAAAATCTTCATTTTTTTAAGTTTATCATAACTTATGCTTGCAGTTCAGTAGAACTTAATGAGATGTACCCTGTGTATTTATATTTTCTAGTCTAAGAAATGTTAGATATTTTAAATGATTTTATCCTTCACATTTAACATAAAATGGTGTTTGAATATTACTTCTCAAAAATTTAGTTAAGATACCAGCACAAGCATTCTTAACTATTTGCCAGCATGGTAAATGTATTGTACTTTTTCTGGCATATTTTAAAAATACATATGTCCTTGTTTTTCACATTTAAAGCTGTGGAGAATACTGCAAACAGAGATGAAGAAAGCATTTTCCACAGGCCACGTACACAAGTATCTTAAGATCACATGCACTGTGCTACATGTGTGCACATATATGCACACATGTGTATGCACACTTGTGATCTGCTTTTGGATATGCCAAAGACAAGTTCTACAGTGACACCCTCCTCCTGACTTTGGTATCTGACCTAAAAGAGACTCAGTTGCTTTTTGGTTAAGTTGTTTTAGGTCACTTTTCCTCTGCGTTTTATGCTTTGTCTAGTTGACAAGGACTTCTCTTCTGGTTTTCACGTGTGTGTGCATGTGTGCACAAATCTGCCACGAAGCCTTTCTGCAGAAGCACGTGCTCACATCGCACACGTGGCGGATGCCTCCTGGCGGCATCTGCTGTGCAGCATTGGCCTGGTGTTCGTAGCTTGCTTGCTTGATGCTTCTCGACCGAGTGGGTGCAAGTTGGGAGGGTTAGACTTGTTCTGGACAGTCGCGCAAGCCTCGTCCGGCTTTGCGTAGTTTGTGAGGCAAGTCTGGGGCACTGTACAGTGTCCAGCATCTGAGTTTGTCCAGTCGTGGGACTCAGAAACTTGGTGGGTTGGCCAGCTCCTGCAGGATTTTGGAGTTAGTTTGCAGAGAGCAGAGCACAGTGCCCTGGTCACGAGGCAGGGCAGCTGCTGGATGTGATGGGATGTTGTGAGCTCAGTGAGCTTCACAGTCAGGTGGGAGCTGGGTGTCCAAGAACTTGTAGGCCCCTCAGTCCAGCATTCAGAGTGGGCCCCGGAGCTGGCTTGCAGTGCTTGCACGTGCACATGCCACAGTTGCCTTAGACTGGAGGGAGCGCAGGTGCCCTGTTGGTTTGGTTAATGCGTACTGTTCCTGGCTTAGCAGTACAGCATGCAGCCGTACGAGAGAAAGTGGATGCTAACAGAACCTCCAGATTTGTTCCTGTCAGTCCACTGATCTCTCTTACGCAGTATGTTCAGTGTCTTCTAGCAGCTAGTTGTGGTCAAGCCTGTTTGGCCTCTCCCTGCCATCCCCATTTTGATGTCTGCACTGTTTGTGTCCTGTTTCAGAGGCCCATTCAGAAAAGCCAGTTTGACAGTGTTCTGTCTCTGCTCTGCGTTCTGCGTTGACTCTTTCAGTCCTTAGAACAGACTCAGAACACAGTTTCTGTTTTGTGGTGGTCAGGAGTGCTCAAGTAATTTGTGCTCAATTCCACATAGCTAGTCAAAGGTGGAGTGATTGTTCAGGGTCAGGTACTCTAAATACCAAGGATTTTGCCTTCATTCTTTCCTTCTAGTCATCCTTTAGCCGGAATTTCATACCTCAGTTAATATCTCTGTGTCAGCTCTTTGATTGCTGTATTAATTTAAATAGGCAATTCTCTGGTCAGAAACCAGGAGCCCTGCTCCGCTCACTCCTCCAAGGCCTGTGCTGTCTGCCGCAGCCCACCTTCCCTGTGCCTCCCTGCCCCGCCGCCCTCTTGCTGTGGTCCTGCTGGAGCTGCTCATCATCCTTGTGTCTCCTGTCAGTGCAGTCTCCCACTCCTCTGGGCTAGGGAGAGAAGTCGGCACCCAGGGAGTATGTCATGACGAGGCAGTGACTGCTGACAGCCCTTGGTCCTTCCTCAGGCCCTTGCTGTTCGCCTGCTCGAGCAGACTGACACGTGTGGCCCGCCTCTGTGCTCTTCAGAGACTGTTAATCACATCTGGGAACCGCTGCATTGCACTTATATTTCTAGGATTGTCTTTGTTATGCTCACCCTGGCAAGCCTGCCCTGTGTGGGCGTGGCACCGAGGCAGAGGCCCGTGGCTCCTGGCTCCTCTGAGCCCATTCAGACTCGAGGTTCAGGTGTGCAGCTACGAAAAACTGCCAGCCAGTTACTTGTTTTGCCATCTCGGCCTCATCGACTTCTGCTGAAGCCTGCAAGATCAGGACTACTTTAGTTTCCCATTTCCTGTTTGAGGTGAACTCACTGACGTGGTGTCCGCTGCGTGTTGGCTGTGTGGATCACGGCTATGAGTGCTGAAGTACAAAAGCAAACAAAGCCACTTCTGCTTTGGAGCGTACAGTCACAAAGTCAGACCCTGAGTTAGTTGGGAATGTGGGCACCTATGCAGAATTGTTGTCAAAGGGAACTGAATGACATGGGAGACTGAGTGGGGCAGGTACCAAGGGAGCAGCGAAGGTCCACGGTGGGTCAGAGGGAACAGAGCTAGCTTTCCAGGATCCCACGGCTCAGCCTGTGCAGGATGTGGAGCCCTAGAGTGTGCGGTGGCCATGCAGGGGGGCAGCGGTCAGCCTCCATGTCACCGGCACCAGGAGCGATGCAGAAGGCAGCCCAGGCCACACTGTGCTGCACAGAGCACAGCTGACAGGTCGGCACAGCTCCTGCCTTAGGAAGCGCAGGGTGGTGTGGGGTCTCTCTGGAGTAAGTGGAGAGTCTTGCCCTGGCTCAGTAGCTGCTTTGGGCCAGACAGACTCAACACGCAGTTTTCTGTACCTTAGACTACACTAAACTGTCTTGGAGCTTCCTGGTGTTGATGTGTGGCAGACAGTAATGCTGGGACGGACTTGGCATATGGTCCTGTTTTAGTTTGGGGAGGGATAGAAGGATTTTGACTCGGTTCTGAGTCTTGTGCTAAGATTCAAACTGTATCCCAGTTTGAGAGAAGGTTGGACATCTGTTTTGGTGCTGCTGTGGTTTCCGAGGGAGCTTTTTCTGCTGCTCATTTTGGGGTATTGGGTGCTCACAGTGGGTCTCTAGAAACTGACTTATTAGAGATTCTGGTAGTTCGAGCCGTCAGGAATAGTGGTCGCTTTGTACTCACCCTGATGTTAGGAGTGCCTCTGAGCCAGGAAAGACTTGGCTAAGTCTGTGGCTGCGTGGTGTCGGAATGCAGCAGCATGGCACCACTGCCACCCCGTCACAGTGCTGCCACACCGTCACAGTGCTGCCACCCCGTCACAGTGCTGACACCCCGTCACAGTGCTGCCACCCTGTCCGTCACAGTGCTGCCACGCCGTCATAGTGCTGCCACCCCGTCACAGTGCTGACACCCCGTCACAGTGCTGCCACCTCGTCCGTCACAGTGCTGCCACGCCGTCACAGTGCTGTCACCCCGTCACAGTGCTGCCACGCCGTCACAGTGCTGCCACCCCGTCCGTCACAGTGCTGCCACCCCGTCCGTCACAGTGCTGCCACCCCGTCCGTCACAGTACTGCCACTCTGTCCATCACAGTGCTGCCACCCTGTCCGTCACAGTGCTGCCACGCCGTCACAGTGCTGCCACCCCGTCACAGTGCTGCCACCCGTCCGTCACAGTACTGCCACCCTGTCCATCACAGTGCTGCCACCCTGTCCGTCACAGTGCTGCCACGCCGTCACAGTGCTGCCACGCCATCACAGTGCTGCCACCCCATCACAGTGCTGCCACCCCGTCCATCACAGTGCTGTCACCCCACTGGTTCATTGAACACGGTTCACATTGTGTCGGGGTTGCAGCAGGGTGTGTGCTCACCATCAGCTCCGACAGGTCACACACGGTGAAGAGATACCCATGGGAGGTGTTGTCCATCCACATCCTGGGCCTAAAGGACTTCCTGTTCCTTCCTTCCTGAATTGAACTGACTAGCTACAGAGCATGCAGCAGGTTGCAGGCACTCTAGCAAGGAGGCACTTTCACATATTAAAAAAAAAAAGCCAAATGAGAAGCAGAGCAATAATTAAATAATAAAAATAATGGAAAATGAAAGAGGACTTTTGTTTTTACAAACTGCTGCCAGCCCACAGAAATCTGGTACCTCTGTTTCTATCATTGTTAATTTTTGAGGGATGTTTTCAGTTTTAATATTTGATGATTTTTTAAATGTTTTTCTCACATTGAGCTGTGGCTGTTGTGCAGGTGCTGTTGAAGTGAGCACGCGTGTTGTGCTGGGCGGGGTGGCGTCCTCGTGGGTTTCACCCTCTATACTAGCTTCCACAACCAAGGGGAAGTTCAGTGTGTCTTTCTCAGTCTAGTTTCTTCCACTTAGCTTCATGGTCTCTATTCCTTGCATTCTGTTGGTCAGTGTCACAATTTCTTTCTTTCTTTTTTTTTTTTTTTAGCTGAGTAACATTTTGTCATGTGTGTGTACACCTTCCGTTTATCCCTCTATCAGCCGGTCGGTACTTGACTGCTAAAGACGTGGGCGCTCAGGGAGCGTCTTCTGGT